ATGTTGCTCTACTCTGACCTCTATCTTTGAGGAGTGAGAAGTTATTTAACAAATAGCACAAATATAAATGTGCCATAGGAGTTGAATATGCATTTGCTGGGAAGTTGCCTAAGAGAACTTGGAAGGGTTTAATAAACGCACGTAGTTAAATGTGTACTATATAAAATATAATGGAATAAGGCTGTATGTATTTTGTTTCTGTCTTTATAAATTCAGTTTCCCCTTTAACTCTCCCTGTTTTGACAGTTATACAAATGAAACATTTCTTGAAATTTGAGCATACAGTGGTATAGCTGAGGTTTTTATTAAGTTATTTCATGGAGGTGTACAAAAGCTGTTCATTTTCCAGACAGTGTGCATTTACTGTTAGAAGCACATTGATAGTTGAATTTAGAAAGACTTAACAGGTGGCTTTTGACAAAATAAACTTGACCTTCATTAATAATACTTAAACATACTATTGAAACATAATTGCATCAATGGACATCACTACTTCCCAGGATATGCTTCTATCTTTCAGAAATATAATTAACACTATTTTTAATATAGAATTTTGCAGGAGAAGTTAGACCAACCAGTTTCTGCTCCACCATCCCCCCGAGACATATCAATGGAGATAGATTCCCCAGAAAATATGATGCGACATATCAGATTTTTAAAGAATGAAGTAGAGAGGTTAAAGAAACAACTAAGAGCTGCACAGTTACAACGTAAGTAAACTGTCTTTGACTATGAATGGTGTCCGTAGCTAACAAGTTACTGAAGTGCACTTACAGGAATTCCTACATATTTTTAGTTTAACTTTGTTACTGAAATGCAGCCAACTTTGGTGCTGAAATGTATCAGCTGATTAACAGCACATCTTTGAAAACAGTAAAGATGAACGTAGGAGATAGCTGTGTAGAGAGTCTCTGGGTTAAGCTAAAAGGGGTAAAAAACGAGGGTGATATCATGCTAGGAGTCTACTACAGGCCACCTAGCCAGGTGGAAGAGGTGGATGAGGCCTTTTTTAAACAATTAACAAAACTATCCAAAGCCCAAGATTTGGTGGTGATGGGGGACTTCAACTATCCAGACATATGTTGGGAAACTAACACAGCGAGGCACAGGCTATCCAATAAGTTTCTGGACTGCATTGGAGACAACTTTCTGTTTCAGAAGGTTGAAAAAGCTACCAGAGGAGAAGCTGTTCTGGATTTGGTTTTAACAAATAGGGAGGAACTAGTTGAGAACTTGAAAGTGGAAGACAGTATAGGGGACAGTGACCACGAAATAATAGAGTTCATGATCTTAAGGAAAGGTAGAAGGGAGACCAGCACAATTGAGGTAATGGATTTCAGGAAGGCAGATTTTGATAAGCTCAGAGAACTTGTAGGTAAGGTCCCATGGGAAGCAAGACTGAAGGGAAAAACAACTGAGGAGAGTTGGAAGTATTTCAAAGGGACGTTGTTAAGGGCCCAAAAGCAAACAATTCCGCTGTGTAGGAAAGATAGAAAATATGGCAAAAGACCAGCTTGGCTTAACAAGGAGATCTTGCACAATCTCAAAATAAAAAAGGAGTCTCATAAAAAATGGAAACTAGGACAAATAACAAAGGATGAATATAGGCAAGCAACACGGGAATGCAGGGGCAAGATTAGAAAGGCAAAGGCACAAAATGAGATCAAACTAGCTACAGGCATAAAGGGAAACAAGAAGACCTTTTATAAATACATTAAAAGCAAGAGGAAGACCAAGGACAGGGTAGGCCCACTGCTTAGCGAGGAGGGAGAAGCAGTAACAGGGAACTTGGAAATGGCGGAGATGCTCAATGACTTCTTTGTTTCGGTCTTCACCGAGAAGTCTGGAGGTGTGCCTAACGTAGTGAATACAAGCAGAGAGAGGGTAAGTTTAGAAGATAGGATACACAAAGAACAAGTTAAAAATCACTTAGGAAAGTTAGATGTCAGCAAGTCACCAGGTCCTGATGAAATGCATCCCAGGATACTCAAGGAGCTGATAGAGGAGGTATCTGAGCCTTTAGCTATGATCTTTGAAAAATCATGGCAGACAGGGGAGATTCCAGAAGACTGGAAAAGGGCAAATATTGTGCCCATCTATAAAAAGGGGAATAAGAACAACCCAGGAAACTACAGACCGGTCAGTTTAACGTCTGTCCCAGGGAAGATAATGGAGCAGGTAATTAAGGAAATCATATGCAAACACTTGGAAGGTAATAAAGTGATAGGGAATAGCCAGCATGGGTTTGTGAAGAACAAGTCATGCCAAACTAATCTGATAGCTTTCTTTGATAAGATAACGAGCCTTGTGGATAAGGGAGAAGCGGTGGATGTCATATACCTAGACTTTAGTAAGGCATTTGATACGGTCTCGCATGATATTCTTATTGATAAACTAGGCAAATATAACTTAGATAGGGCCACGATAAGGTGGGTGCATAATTGGCTGGATAACCGTAGTCAGAGAGTTGTTGTTAACGGTTCTAAATCCTGCTGGAAAGGGATAACAAGTGGAGTTCCTCAAGGGTCTGTTTTGGGACCCATACTGTTCAACATCTTCATCAATGATGTAGATATTGGGATAGAGAGTACGCTTATTAAGTTTGCAGATGATACCAAACTGGGTGGGGTTGCAACTTCTTTGGAGGATAGGGACATAATTCAAAATGACCTTAGCAAGTTAGAGAAATGGTCAGAGGTAAACAGGATGAGGTTTAATAAAGAGAAATGCAAAGTGCTCCACTTAGGAAGGAACAATCAGTTCCATACATACAAGATGGGAAGCGACTGTCTAGGAAGGAGCATGGCAGAAAGGGATCTAGGGGTCATAGTGGACCACAAGTTGAATATGAGTCAACAGTGTGATGCTGTTGCAAAAAAAGCAAATATGATTCTAGGTTGTATCAACAGGTGTGTTGTAAGCAAAACTCGTGAAGTCATTCTGCCGCTCTACTCTGCACTAGTTAGGCCTCAGCTGGAGTACTGTGTCCAGTTCTGGGCGCCACATTTCAAGAAAGATGTGGAGAAATTGGAAAGGGTACAGAGAAGAGCAACAAGAATGATTAAAGGTTTAGAGAAGCCTATGAAGCCAGGCTTCATGAACTGGGCTTGTTTAGTTTGGAAAAAAGAAGATTAAGGGGGGACATGATAGTGGTTTTCAAATATCTAAAAGGGTGTCACAAGGAGGAAGGTGAAAATTTGTTCCTCTTGGTTTCTGAGGACAGGACATGGAGTAATGGGCTTAAAGTGCAGCAGGGGAGGTTTAGATTGGACATTAGGAAAAAATTCCTAACTGTCAGGGTGGTCAAATATTGGAATAAATTGCCAAGGGAGGTGGTGGAATCTCCCTCTCTGGAGATATTTAAGAACAGGTTAGATAGACATCTGTCAGGGATGGTGTAGACGGAGCTTGGTCCTGCCTTGAGGGCGGGGGGGCTGGACTCGATGACCTCTTGAGGTCCCTTCCAGTCCTACTATTCTATGATTCTTCATTTCCTGTTCTCACCCTTTTAAAATATGAGAAATGTAAAGGTAGGTGACAAAACTGAATATTGAAATTGACGTTTGATAAGGCCGTTGCAATTTAATCCTTTACTGTTGTGAAAAATGTTACTTGATATTTATCCCTGAATAAATCCTCTGCCTTGCATCTCATGTGATAGATGGGAATTCCAGCTCCATGCCAGAGAATAAAAACTTAAAGGGGAAAATGTACCTGTACCTTTCTGTCATTTACAGAATACATGCTTTAATTTTTCCCTCCATTATAAATCTTAGGAAGTTCTTATTTTTAAATTGATCAGTGCTAAGAATTTTGTATAAAATGTTGACTATAGTATCTAGAGTAAGGCACATAGTGTCTCAGTTGCTGTAAACTGTTTTTGATAATCGGATTGACCCGTCATTTCCTTCCCCCCCTCTACCTTACATTCCAGTTTTAGGAGCAGTAATGCCACCTAGTTTTAGGAGCAGTAAGATTTTGCAGATATAATGATCTTTTTTACAGACATATGACTGCTCTTGCACTGAGGCTTTGTGTTCAGGTTTGGGAAATTAATATTTCATTCCATTTAAAAAAGATAGGGAGTGTTAGTCTCTTTGTTCTTGCCAAACTCTCCAATATAACTTTCACTTACTGAATTCACAATGAAAACAAGACTTTTCATACTGACTACTTCATTTGCAAACACTACAGTAATTAATTTAACTTGATGCCCTCTTAATTATTTTGCTGGTTTTTTTCATATTATCTTTAATTTAAAGTAAAATTTTCAAAAGCCCTTAAGTTCCACTTTCACACATGATTTGGCACTTAAGACTAAGTCACAGTCACATTTTCAAATGAGACAAGTACTTTTGAAAGTATTCTTCCCATATAGCCAAGTTATATTAAGAGTTACTAATGCATGTATAAACTTAAAAAACAACAAATAGTCTGATAGCACTTTAAAGACTAACAAAATATGTAGATGGTATTATGAGCTTTCGTGGGCACAGCCCACTTCTTCAGATGACCATATGTTATATAATGCTAGTACAGGTAGCATAGCTGCCTGGACTTATTGCTATAAAGACTGCATGCCACTTGGAGCAAAATAAAAATCACAGTTTAAAGTGCTTTTTTTCCACAAGAGATGTAAAATAAAAATTCCTGACAATGTGCTCTTTAAAAAGACCATGCCACTCTTCACCAGATTAGTGTTTGTTCTGCTTATTAAATTCATGTTTTTCTAACTATCTTTTACCAACCTAAATGTCCTGCAGTAGTTGGACAAAATATTCACTTTCTAGTATGTGTAATGTTGTAGTGCACTCTGAAACAATTGTCTTAATGTGGTGTTATTTCGACAATGGTAGAAATAAATACTATAGTGCTTGAAAATCACTTTCCACAACACTTCAAGGTCCTTCTGGAAACATAAAAGTAAGTAATAATCACAAATACCAAAAAATTCAGATATTTTAAGAATCAATGTGTACACCATAAACCTGGCCATTTCTTAAATTAGAAAGCAATGTAAAATACTTTCTATCATACCCACAAAGTGGAAGGCATCATCACATGTTCTTTCCTACTAAAACAGAGCATCCAAAATATTGTATAGACTTTCTTAAATTTAGCTTTGATCATGTTTATTCAATTTTATATAAGATATACTCAGTGGTACTAGAACACCTCGCTAACATAAGCTGACTTAGTTTAAAAATGTAAACACAAATGCTCACATACTTAAATGAAGCTATTTAAAGTAAAGACACAATAATTTGGTGACTTTAATATTGATAGGCATCCTGTTGGTTAATCTCCAAGATAAAATCTGCTTAAGTGAAGGCATGCTGGGAAATAGTCATAAGACAGCAGTTTAATAAAAGTTTGTTTTCTCCAAAGTATGGTGGAGTATTGACCCAACTAATGAAAATTCTCCTTAGAGTAGTAATTTGCGATGCTGTTTAGAGAAGTATACTCTTTTCACTTATTTCTGTCATTTATATTTGATTGATCAGTGCACACCGTTTAAAAAAATACATATTCTACAATTTAATATAATTTTAAACTAAACATTAAAATTAATATAGTAAATCTTTAAAATGATTAACTTTCTTAAAAAAAATGCCTTGCTGTAAAATTTTAGATCTTTCCATGTAGAATGTAAATGTGTATAAATATGAAATTACATTTTTATAGTAACACAAATTTCTGTTCATATTTCTTACTATAGATTTGAGTGTTAATGTTTTTTTTTTAATCTTTGCAATATTTTTCAAATCTGTTCATTTAAGAGAAAAAAAGCAAGCTTTGTCATCGTTCACAAAGTTAGTAGCTAATTTTGATTGAATCCAAAGGTTCAGAAAAGAGCAACTAAAATGATTGGGGTTTTGGAACGGGTCCCATATGAAGAGAGGCTAAAGAGACAGGGACTCTTCAGTTTAGAAAAGAGGAGACTGTGGGAGGATATGATAGAGGTATATAAAATCATGAGTGGTGTGGAGAGGGTGAATAAAAAAAGTTATTTATTTGTTCCCATAATATAAGAACTAGAGGACACCAAATGAGCTTATTGTGTAGCAGGTTTAAAACTAATAAAAGAAAATTCTTCACACAGTGCACATTCAACCTGTGGAACTCCTTTCCAGAGGAGGCTGTGAAGGCTAGGACTAAAAAAGAGCTAGATAAATTCATGGAGGTTAGGTCCATAAAAGGCTGTTAGCCAGGAGGTAAGGAATGGTGCCCCTGGCCTCTGTTTGTCAAAGGCTGGAGAAGATGGCAGGAGACAAATTGCTTGATCATTGTCTTCAGTCCACCCCCTCTGGGGCACCTGGTACTGGCCACTGTCAGCAGACAGGATACTGGACTAGATGGACCTTTGGTCTGACCCAGTATGGCCATTCTTATGTTTTTATGTTCAACTTTAAAACAGGCTTTGAAGTACAGGTTGAGCGCCTCTAGTCCAGAACGCTCTGATCCAGAAACATCTGTCGTCTGGAATGATTTTAGTTAGCCAGATGTCCACTTACAATTGGTGTGGCCAAGTTTCCTGCAGTCCCATAGAGTTTGTTTACAGCCACCAGTCATGGCTCTGTGTTGTGTACTGTTATTTAGCTCTAATTTACCCCTGCGTGTCTTCTAACAGCCCAGTAAGCAGTGGAAGCATTGGTAATGCTGCTAGACAATAATGACCTCCTGTGGTCTGTATAATTCTCTGGTTCGGATCCTGTCAGGTCCTGAGGGTGCTGCACTAGAGAGGTTCAACCTGTAAAGAATTAGAGATGAGAGACTTAGTAAAATAATTCCCTGAGTCATCCTCTCTTGCAATACTTGAAATGTTTGAGTAAGGAAATTAAGTTACAAGTACTTACATATCTATTAAACTGAGTTTAATGACGACCTAACAAATTTGGAATTTCAGATTCAGAGAAGATGGCACAATATTTAGAGGAGGAGCGTCATATGAGAGAAGAGAATTTAAGACTCCAAAGAAAACTACAGAGGGAGATGGAGCGAAGGGAAGCTCTATGCAGACAACTGTCAGAAAGTGAATCCAGCTTAGAAATGGATGATGAAAGGTTTGTGTTCAGTCATTATTATCTCTGTTCTCTGTATATAAATAATTACAGGTTGGACCTCCCTGGTCCAGCACCCTTGGGACCTGACCATCCCAATAAGAGAGTTTGCTGGACCAAGGGTAGTAAATCTTGCCCCTATGTTGCTGGTTTCCAGGTTCTCCCAGGGGGCTGCCAGCCTTCCGGCCAGGCTCCCCTCCTAGCTGCCAGCCATCGGGCTCCGCTGCCCCCAGACTGCTATTTGGGCTCCGGTCTCAGCTACCCCACACCCTGGGCTGCTGGCTCACAGGATTGGCTCTGGACTCAGCAGCCTCTGCCCCCAGGACTCTCTGGTCCAGGGGCTGTTTGGTTCAGAGGTTCTCTGGGCTGGCAACATGGACCAGCCCAGAGATTCTCTGGGCTGGTCCATGTTGCAGGATCATAGAGTTCTGGGCCAGAGAGGTTCAACCTGTATGACAATAACCACACCAGCTTTTTTATATGATATTTCTACCTATAAACACTGAAAGTCAGCTGAGATGAAACAATGCAAAGAATTTCAAAACAATATAATCAAACATTCTTCGTAGAAGTATAGTTTAATTCTTGCAGGGATGGTTTAGGTTTACTGTGAGCAAGAGAATAGTTATACTTAGAGGCTATGTCTAGACTACATGGCTCCGTCGACTGAGCCATGTTAAATAGTTTATTCGGCATAGGCAAAGAAGCAGGGATTTAAATAATCCCCACTTCATTAAAATAAACATGGCTGCCGCGCTGTGCCGACGATCAGCTGATCCGGCACAGCGGGGCAGTCTAGACGTGCCGCGGTTGACAAGGGAAGCCTTTGTTGACCGCTCTGGTATACCTTGTGAAACAAGGGAAAGGCTTCTAGATTGCCCCGGTCTGCCGGAACAGCCG